AAATCTTCTTTAAAAGTTGGTCGATTGACTGTTTTTACTTTGCTGATCGTTAAATTGACCAATAAGAATGATCAAAATTTTGATTTGTGTTACCATTAAAGAATACTCTGACTGTTTAAGAGATAATAAATAGTATGAACCTTGTTCTACTTTTTGATTGTAGGGAATTGTTATTTCAGAAGAAATGGTACCTTGTGCCTGATTAATAGGCACTTCTGAAATATCCTGATTGATAGACATTTGCTCTGATTCAATTAGAAGGAGTATTCTGAGAAGTTAAGAGCGCCTCTTGAATTTGAGAAGTGGAATCTTTGTAAATTATTGTGTGTAACAATAAAATGGGGTGTGCAGATCGATTTATTATTTTGTGCAAATTACTTTAAAGAAGATATCCGTTGCAAATTCCAATTATAATTTATATATTATAGATCAATATAATGATAAAAATAATAATTTGGGAGTTTCGATTATTAATGAAGCATTAAGATCTTATAATTTTCAAATAAGTAAATGACGTCAGAATCATGACCTTAATTATATCAACCGACAAGGGAGAATTAACCATCACCAGAATACTCAATTAGTAGCCAAAACCCAACGTCAATTAACTAAGGCTATCAAAAGAGCTCGGCAAATGGCTCTTTTGCCTTATACAATAGTAGAACAAAGTGAGGAAATTCAAAAATAATTTATATTATGTAAAAAGCTCAATTTTGGTCAGATGACCCCAGAGGTGGTTTTTGCTGTGAAACGTCCCAAATGTCCTGTTGGGGAAATGGTTGTTGGGGAAACGTACCAGACCCAACAAAACATTTATCTATAGCATAAATACCCTCCACATCATCCAGGATAATCCCTTTAGCAGGCTAATAGGAAATTTAAACTACTATGTTTGCTTCCTCAGAATGGTATCACTATTTGAGCTACTCATCATTCGATATTATAATACTTTTCAAGATGAAAAAAAATAATTCACCTGTAGCATTATTTGAGTAATCTTCCCATATTGTAAAAAATCTTCCTCATATACGTTTTTTACAGAATTTACTGCTCTCTCTACAATACCCTTAGTTCATCCTTGTTAATCCATGGATTATCTTCAAACCTTTGATAAATAACTGAGGCCACCATAATTAATTTGGTTTTTAAGTTGTTAAATATTAAAAAAAGAGAATCACTAGATTATATATAAGCAAAGAATTAGCACAAAAGAATTTTAAATCATGCACAAACATTACAGCCTTTTATTGTATATCTATCTTTAATAAAACAAACATGACTTGGCTATTTAATCATTTCCTTGTATGTGAATGCCTCCATCCATCAAATATTTATGATTATTATTTAATACATTTGATGTTATAATTGTCACAACAAACAATTGTATCACCCAAGTAACAATAATACCAAGGCCATGCATAAATACAACTTTTAACAATGCATGTCTACCCAGATTCCTTGAATTCACAAAATAAATTATTTTTCCTAATTATCAATTATGGTTCCTTATGAATAATAAATCTGATGTTGATCACAGGCATCAGATTTAATTAAAGTTTTCATGCACAAAAATGCATGACAGTGCAATTAAGCACAATTCAGCACCATGGAATTTTTTCCCACAGGTGAAACAGACCTGCAAGTTGGAAGGCTTTAGACAAAATTTCCCTTATCTCCCTCTCAGACCAGGCTTGACTGTTATTAAATGGGCATTAATTGCTGATAACTGGTGCTTGTGTGATGATTGCTTTGTGTTATACTTCTCTAGAAGTAAAGTTATAATAAGATGAGCATCTGCAACTCAAGAAATTGCTGTTTTGGATTTTCCCTGAATTCGGAGTTTTGAGTCCTGGGTTGTTGTCTTGTCAATGGCCAATGGTATCCTACTCACCAACAACTCTACCCCATTTAAATAACAAGTTCAGTTGGTCAAATAAAAATTAAAGAGAAACAGAAAATTTGGGAAAATGATTAACTTATACAACATACCAAACACAATCCGAACCATTTTATTTTACAACTTCTCTCCTAATACCAGAACCTAAATGCGATTTCAAGTTTAACCAGCCCCACTCTGAATTGCAACTTACTGTGCTTGAAACGAGTTGCAGATTCTTGTTGCTTTGATGGATCTGGATGTTTACATGGCACTACAATTCATCTACAGAGTTGCAGAATTGCGACTTGGTCACAGATCCATCCTTACCCTAGAAGTAGGATTGTTGCAGGTGACTTTTCATCTAACATGGCGGCTTTCTCTGGTCTGGGAAGATTAATGAAAGTGTCATTGATGATTGATGCAGCTTTGATGCATTCCATGGCCATGCGCCTCCCCCCTAGAATTCTGTTGCATCGTATCCATAGGGCGTGACCGGTCAGATTAGTACGAATGACTGTAAAATGTTCAAGGTAGCGTGCGTGCTTCAATGTCTGCTAATTTCCGATAATCAAACATCGTATATTTGAATTGTTTCTTTTTCAACAGTATACTGCCTTGAAATTATTTATTAATAATAATAATATTAATAACAATTACGCAAAGCAAAATACCAATCGTTCATTTGTTATCATCTTGATAAGGATCTTATAATCACCCAGCAAGATCTGTTCCGCGTTTTGATTCCAATTAAAATATTTATAAACTAAAAAAAAACATTTCAATGCAAAAAACTATCTTTGACATTAACACTTCTTCTTTAGGAGGACCGTGTTTTGTCTGTCAAAAAATATGATTGTTTTTCCAAAAAAAAAGTCACACGTCAACAAAAAAAAAAAGTGCATAAATAATTAATGTGCACGCGTTTGTCGATCAAAATAATAAAATTCTAATTCTTCAAAAATGCCTAATAAGAGTAATGATAAGAGAAAACAAACGAATAGTCGTGGTGCTGTTGTTGTTGGGTAAGTGTTTATTGTAAGAATGGTGGTGGTCATCGCCACTGGTCGTCACTCTAGTTTATCTATAAAATCTGCAAATTAATAAAAAAAAATTTTTCTTGTTCCTATTATTTGATTTTGCAAAAATATTTGGTCACAGTCCATCCTCCTCATTAACATATGGTCATGAAAAACCACCAATCATAGTTGGTTTAATATTGGCCAGAAATGATCGTGAAATCACAGTATTTGGACCCGAAGGAGTGCCAATCACAGTTCCCGAGCCTTATGAAACTTACAAAAGGCCAATCGGAGGACTTTCATTTAAAGATGAAATTCCAGAATTGGCTCAAGCAGATACCAGCATGGAAGGTGATGCTATTGAACCAAGGTTGATTGTACCATCAACTAGTGGAAGAGATAGAACAGCTGGTGTAGTTTTAGCTTGGTATGACAACTGGGTCTTGGTAGCACGTTCTGATGATATTGTAGTAATCAAAAAAATATCCGACGGATTGTATAAGAAGGTACTTGAAGAAACTAAATATTTAAATCTTGATGAACTTCCCGAAGCGCATGAAGTTGCTCCTGATGAATATGAGGTTACTCCTGGTGAATATGAAAACTATAAAATAGAACTTGCTAAGTACATAGACTACATACGAGAGAAGTATTCTATAATTCATAATCCAAAAAGAAGTGCTTTTAAAGAACACGAACCGATTGGTAGAGCTGTTAATGGACTACAAACATTTTGGTCTTTAAAAGGAATATATCAATTGAATATGAACTGTGAAAAAATCATCAAAAGGTTTAAAATCGAGTACAAAAAATATTTGGAAGCTTCACGTAAATTGAAATTAGAATTGGCGCATAAAGAATATTTTGAAGAATCTCAAAGAAATAAACAAAAATTCAAAGAAAGGAGACACACTCTGGATGATTTTAAGACAGCCACAAACAAATCAATGGATAAATCCAAATTGGATAAAAATATGCAACTCTTTAGGCAATTTGATTGGTCCAAATGTGATGTGGATTTTAAGGCATTACCAATATTACATGACAAAAAATACAAAGAAAAAGAAGATCAAATCTTTTTTGATGATAATAAAAGGCAAATCACTTTAAATAGGAACAATTTCATCTCTGAACGTCTCTAAAAAAAATTACTATCACAAAAAAAAACCTAAAAAATTAATTCAAAAATCAAATCAAAAAATTTAACATGTTTATTTTTTTTATAATAAAATAATAATAACAATTTGCTAGTATATAAATGCTATTCATCTGATCCTACATAATTAAAAATACATTATTTATTACCTTCACTTTCCTACATAAATATTTGATAACAATAGTATGTATGATATTATTAAAGCTTATATTTAAAGCTTATATTTAAGAATAGTCCTAAAAAGGCTATTAAGGACCCAGTCTTCTCAATCCTTGGTCCCCAAATTTTGAGAAAAGACTGGTCCTTAAAAAAGGTAATAGTGTAACATATTAATATGCTATTTAAAAAATTCAGCATAACGGAATTTCTAAATGTCGATCATTTTCCAAAAATTGTTACACGGTTATTTATATTATTTTACAATAGTCG